ACACATACATGGCACAGCGCACACAGATGTACACATACATGGCACAGCGCACACAGATGTACACATACATGGCACAGCGCACACAGATGTACACACACACACGGCACAGCGCACACAGATGTACACACAGGCAAACATGGCACAGCGCACACAGATGTACACACAGGCAAACATGGCACAGAACACACAGATGTACACACAGGCAAACATGGCACAGCGCACACAGATGTACACACATGCATTAAACAAACACATGAACAATTATAAAAAGAATGAAAGCGTACTGGAGAGATGGCTCAGTCAGTTAAACACTTGCCCTGTAAAAACGAGGACCTGAGTTTGGATCCCCAGGACCATGTTTAAAAGCTCGAGTGGTGCCGTATTCAGAGCCAGGTGGAGCCCAGAAGCTCATTGGCCAGCTTCAGTGGCCTATTTGGTAAGATTCCAGGCCAGTGAGAATCAGTATCCCAAACAGAAAATAGAAGGCACCTGTCTCAGTCAGTGTCCTGCTGCTGTGAAGAGACACCATGACTGTGGGAACTCTATAAGAGAAAACATTTCACAGCTTCAGAGTTTAGTCCATTATCATCACTGCTAGAAGCATGGCAGCATGCGGGCAGACATGGTGCTGGAGAAGGAGCTTGAGAATTCTACACTGGGATCTGCAAGCAGCAGAGAGCATCACTGGGCCTGAGCATTTGAAACCCCAGAGCCCACCTCCAGTGACACACTTCCTCCAACAGGGCCACACCTCTTGATAGTGCCACTTCCTAGTGATCTATCCAAATGCGGCTTCCGCAATAGCTTATTCCTAGCTGGCTGTGGTGGGACCTGCTTAGCACTTTGGAGGCTGAGCCAGCCTTGTCTATATAGTCTGTATGGTGAGACCCGGTCTAAAAATCAAACACACTGGAATGATGGCTCAGTGGTCAAGAGTGCTCGCTGTTTATTCAGAGTTTGGGTTCTCACCCACATTGAGTGACTTAAAACCACCTGTAACTCCAGCTCCAGTGGATCCAGTGCCCTCTTCTGGGTTCTTCAGGTACTGCATGCATACAAACACACTTAAAAACATCTCAAATGATAATTTAAAAAGTATTACTGGGACAGAGAGAGCTCAGTGGTTAAGAGCTGGCTGGGTTAAATTCCCAGCACCTGCATGGCAGCTCACAACCGCTGTAACTCTAGTTCCGGACATCCTCATCTGGCCTCTACAGGCACCAGGCACTCCGGTGGTCCTCTTATGCAAATACCCACATACATAACATTTTAAAGAAATTGGAATATTACTCTGAATTATGGAGTAACATATTTAGTGTGATTTTTATCTGAGCAGCTGAGCATTAAACTTTGTGTGCTTTTGTGTGTCTGTATGGGAGTGTGTGTACACACATATGGAAGTGTGGGTGCCAGGGGTCGATGTCAGGTATCTCTCAGTCAGTCTTGTCCTTAGTTTTAAGACAGGGTCTCTCGCTAAAGCTGGAGTGGGCAAGCTGGAGAGGCTGGCCCGCCAGCTAACCCCTGTGATCCACGCACTTCCCCCACACAGGGATTCCCAGCGTTTAGTGCCACACGAGGCTCTTTCTGAACGCAGGTCTCCAGGCTTGCGAGACAAGTTCATTACTGATTGAGTCATCTCCCCTAAACTTAAAATTTTTATAGATTTCTCACCTCCCTGAAAGCTGTACCATTTTATGTTCTTACCAACTAGATATATATATTATATAATTTCTCCACATTTTTGCCTAACATAGATTAGGCCTTTGAAAATGTTTGTTCTTTAATTTTACAAATTTAATGACAAAAGTGCTTTTTTCATGTTTTTACTACAGTTCTTTAGATAGAATTAAACTAATTAGTTAGAATTAAAAATAATTTACATTATTGACTTAAAACATATAGACAAAGCTGGGTGTGGAGCACATACCTGTAATCCCAGCAGAGGAGGAGGCAGTATGCTCAGGAGTTTAGGCTTATGCTCAGCCATGTTTTTCATTAAAGACCAGCCTGGGCTGCGTGAAGCCAATTTAGACAATTTGTTATACATATTTTTATTAGGATATTGGCCTTTACTCACATTTTTAGTTGCTATACCTACATTTTTCTTAATGTTCCCTTTGGAGTCTGCTTAGAGTCTTCCCTATCTTAAGATTATAAAAATATGTACCTATTTTTGTGGTACGTCTGTATGTATTTTAAGTGTTCCTTATTTTGTATGAAGAGTGGGGTAAGGAACCAGCATTGCTTTTGCTCAGCTATCTGGTCAACTTTTTAAATGCAAATTTATTAGGTAAAGTCTCTTTCCCTGTTAACTTTGCTAGCAAACTCAGATCCATGTATACACTACTAGCAAAGAGCTCCATTGACTCAATTACAAATTCTTAAGGCAAGAAAACAAAAGGCTTGGGCGGTGGCTCAGTGGGTGGAGAACATGTCTGGCATGCCAAAGCCCTGGGTTCCCTCTTCAGCACTGCACAAACCAGCTGTGGCGGTGCAAATCTCTAAGTCCAACACTCAGAAGGAGTTTAAGGTCAAGGCCAGTCATGGGCTGCCATGAGACACCATCTATATCAAAAACATGAAGTAAAGCAAAAGACCAGAATGTCAGCAAAGCCAAGAAGATGTAGGCTAGCACCCCAAACAAGCATCCACTCTCAGGTTCCAGTGCAAGGCCCTTCATCATGGGCTGGGGAGAAGAAGTGGAGCTTGGTGGGCGGGTTTAGGCGATAATGACTTCCAGGTCCCCTCTCCTGTGGGCTCAGGGCCCCAGTTTATGAAAGCTAGTACTGGCAATCTGTTGATCAGCATACTCCAGGAATCCAAAACATACCTGTTGCTCTTATCTTGGCATCTCAGCTTTGAGGGCTCCAGAGAGAGATCAGAGTTTCAGATCAGTCAGCTTCTCTCATAGGGACACAGGTCCCATAGGCAACTTACATGTAGAACTGAAGAGAAGCAGTTGGATTCAACGGTCAGAGTCAACACAGAACAAGGGCAGAGATGCCTCGCTCTGCATGGGCCTAAGGCAGGACTTTTGACAAAGAGGGTGTCTGATCCCTGATCGTCATGGTGGTTGTCTGGATAGCTGTCAGCTTGTCCCAGGAATCCTGCTTCTGCCTCCTCCTCTCCTCCACTTCCAGAGCACTGCCATTACAGGTGCATCACCATGTCTGCCTGGCTTTATGTGGGTACTGGGGATTTGAACTCAGGTCCTCAGGCTTGCCTGGCAAGTGCTTCACCCACTTATCTGCTAACTGCTGCTCCAATACTGCTTTTCTAACAGGATCTTTCTCAAGAGATGCTCCTTATTAAGTGCCTCTGTATGTTGAGATTTTTTATTTTGTTGATGTTTGTTGAAGTGTTGTTGGAAGATTTATCTGAGGAGATAAATAAAGGAATTAATGAGGAATGCTGTAATAACCAATACGGGAATTATAAAAAGATTTATTAGGATTATTAGCCACAAGACAAGATCAGATAAACCCTTTATTTTATGGGGAAAATAGATTTCAGGTTTTCTGGAAGTTGCTTTATTTTAGCTAATATGCTCATTTTAATTATAAATTATTCGATGCCTTCAAATACTAACCCCCCCCCCCCCTAGCTTTTCATGTGCAATGTGCTGTATCTTCCTCCAGACTTAGGAAAATAGTTGGACAAGCACTTGGTTATTCAGAGAGACTTTCTAAGCCAAGTGTATGTGACTTACTTGTGTGTTAGGGACTATTTCAGATAAATGAAGGCATTAAAAACAGCACACTGTCCATATACTTAATATCTTCCCTTAAGACGTAAAATGTGGCCAGCATTGGTAAAGCTCCTGCCATTGCCTAAGACATAACTTTTATTGCATTTTATTTATTTTTATGTATGTATATATGTATGTACGTGTGTGTATGTGTGTGTGTGTGTGTGTGCGCATATGTGTTTGGATGCACATGCATACATGTGGAGGAGGCCTGAGTTTGGCACTGGGTGTCTTCCTCAGTCTTTCTCCCCTTCATTTATTGACACAGAGGCCCCAGTTCTGGCTAGTCTTGCCAGCCAGATTGCCCCAGGAATCTCTTGTCTGCCTCCCAAGTGCTGGGATGGCCGGAGGCTGCCGTATGTGGCTAGCTTTTGTGTGGGCGCAGGGGATCTGAACTCCTGTTGTCACACTTTTGCAGCAGTGACTTTACTCACCTTAGCCATGTGTCTTACCACAGGTTGTCTCCCCCATGGCTGCTGACGAAGCAACCATCACAGTTCGCCTCATCCGTTCATTTGAACATCGAAATTTCAAACCTGTAGTATATCATGGAGTTAAGTTGGACCAAACTGTGAAGGAATTTATAGCATTTCTAAAGCAAGGTATGAGAAACTAGAATTGTTTTGTTTCATTTGTGTTTTGACAGTAAAAATATGTGCTTTGTTTCATTTTGTGTTTTGACAATGAAAAACATCTGACTGTGATGTTAATGATCATCTTTGAAAAGTACAAAATCAGACTGGGCGTAGTGAGGCATACCTATATTCCCAGCAGTCAGGACACAGAGCATGTTTGGCAGGTAGAGCCAGGATGGGGGTGCAGCTTAGCCAGCCTTGGGGGGAGGTCTCTGCAGGCAAGCAGTCCAGGCTTTAAACAGCTGGAAGGCGGCAACTGCAGTTGCTGGTCTCTGCCTAGACTGATCAGTCATTCGTGACCACTCAGAGTTAGGTGCCCAAGCTTTGCCATCCCTCTTGGGCCTGGTCCAGGTGGGCAATGGCTTTGCTCATTTACCGTGGACCAGTTGGTCGTGGAGTCTTTTACAGGCCTTGCTCACGGCAACATACACATTTACAGAGAACTTTGTTCCCCCGCCTTCCTCTGCTCCTTACACCTGGCTAACAGAAGTGGTGAGCTCCAGGTTCAGTGACGGAGCCTGTCTTAAAAAATACAGTGGAGAGACTGAGGAAGACACTCGCCGTTGACCTCTAGTCTCCACACACAAACATGTGTACATAACCGTGTACACGCGCACAAAGCAAGTCAAGTTTACCTGTAGTGAGCTTATATCTTTGGAGACTGAATGGCAAGGGAGCAAAGTATAGCCGACACTGTCGTCTCCCCAGCCCGCAGGCGTCTTGCTGGGGAGTGTGGCTGTGGCAGCAGGGAGCTGAGGAGATCAGGAGAGCAGTCATCACTGTGGTACAGAGGTGATGACATCCTTTACGTCTTTCGTGGATTGTGTGGATGTGTCTGGTGTGTGTATGTGCATGGCGGACGCTTGTGGCAGTGTGTGAGTCATTGTGAAGAATGCTCAGGTTGCTTCTCAGGGATGCGAAAGCTGCTTTTGTTTAAAGCCTTCCTTTTCTCTTGGGTCTGTGTAGGTGTCTGTTGGGTGACTAAAACAAAGCGACGAAGCTGAGCATTTCTGCCCTCATGTGTCTGTCCCTCTGCCACGCTAACTTTGGGTCTGACTGTGTAGACGTGTCATCACTTCCGTGTACTGGGCACGTGGTAAATAACGGCTTGCACCAGACTCACCCAATATTTCTTCTCTCTTCTAAGTCAGAAGATGTCAAGAAAGGAGTGGCTAAGGTATCTTCCAGGTTTCAGGCCTGTGTGCCTGACCTGTGATCTGAGGGCCAAGCGTGTCCCAGGCTGGTGGAAAAGGAACCCAACATAAAATCATTAAGTTACGTAAGGTGAAGTGGCTAAGAGTGCTTGCTGCTCTTGAAGAGGACCTGGGTTTGGTTCTTATCACTACTGTTTCAGATCTGAGGCTCTTGTGGCCTCTGTGAGCACTGTGTGCGTGTGGTACATACACAGACAAGGTACACACACATGCACACACACACACACACACACACACAAACACAAATAATTTTAAAAACTTAACTATTGTGATAGTTTGGTCCACTATTTTTTCAACTTGATTAGACTATTCTTGAGCATGAACCTTATAGATAATGTATCTATATATATCATATATATGTCTGTTGCACACACACACACACGTATATGTCTGTTGCATATGACATCGTGTTGCAGTGAGCACCATGATGTCGTGTTTACATGTGTGCTGACCACTGATTTCACAACCTGGGACCATTTTATTCCATAGGAAAGCAGCATAGGTGTGTCCGGCCACCCATTCTTTCCCTGCCTAAGCCCTTCTTTCTCCTTGCCTCACTCACACTGAGTTAAGGTGGGTTTTTTCAGGCCAGTGGGACAGCTTAGCCAATAAAGTACTTGACAGCAAGCCTGGTGACCCAGTTTGATCTGAGGATCCAGATGCTGGAGGGAGGGAACTGGCACATATGTCAACACTGATACACAATAAATAAATAATAAATAAATAAATAAATAAATAAATAAATAAATAATGAAATTAATTTAAAAAAATTAATGTGTTGTTTTTTTTTTTTTTTTTTTTTTCAAGGCATTGGCCCGCTGTCTTTCTGGTTTTATAGGCATTTGGGGTAACTATTTTTAGAATATTTATTTGCTTTACTTTATGTGTATGAGTGTGATTTTTCTGCCTCTGCTTGTAGCCCTGGGGTTACAGACGTGCACTACTGTGCCAGGCTTTATGTGGGCTCTGGGGATTCACTTGAGTCTTCACACTTGCAGGGCAAGAGCAAGCAAGTGCCGTACCGACGGAGTCCTCCCCCAACCCCAGCCTGGTGAGTTCTCAGTAGAAAGGACAGGTGAACAAGAGGAAAGCCAGGAGTAGCTGACTGTTAAGTGCCCGCCATATATGTGGGCTGCCAAGGGAGCGAAAACTTGTCAGAGAAGTGCTTGTGGGCAAAGGGGAGCACAGAAGGCCTGGTAGCTGAAGCTTTGCAGTGAGGCGCACTCTGCTGCCCCCTGCAGGCTGATGGGGGCACAGCAGGCTTTTATGGTTGCTCTGTGCTCTAGGGGATAGGGTATAGGCTTTGTCTTGGACAAACAGGGAGGACCCAGAGCACTAGGCATCATCTGTTAGCTGCAAGCAATCTTTGCGCTAGGTAGGTATGTTCTGGTCACCCACCGCTGGTGCCAGTTACAGAGTGGCCTGCTTTTCAGAAGTCATTCCTCAGCATATTCAGATTTTGAGCTACGGACATTTCTAATTATTTTAATGTTTTATTTATTTTTCTCTCTGTGTGTATGTGCTCACGTTTGTGCCAAGCTCATTGTGCTTGCATGTGCACTGTGTGTACCACAGTGAGTGCGTGTGTGCGTGTGTGTATGTGTTTGTGTGTGGAGGAGTAAGTTGGTGGCCGGATTAAACACAGGTGTCAAGCTCGGTGGCAGGCGCTTTGACCTGCTGCTGAGCCATCTCACCAACCCATATTTCCACGCCTTCACTTGTGTGGAGCGTCCTGTCGTTTCTTGGTGTCAGTGCAGCAAGAGACACGATGTTCTTGGTATCGGCAGAGTAGGCCCCTCTGAAAGTCCTTAGGAATAAGATGTGATTTTCAAGCTGCTGTGGTGGCACAGGAAGCTGTGGTTTCCCTGGGTCACTGTGTTCTTTGCTTCCCAGGCACCACAGAACGATTCAGTCACAGTAACCACTGTCGGAACAGAACGGCGGTGCCTGTTGCAGCTAGATGCTCAGGCCTGCCTGCTTGACCTTTCACCTGCCATGGTAACGACACGACTGCTGCCTGTTTCTGTTGAGCATGTGGGGTAGTGTAGCTAGGAAAGTACACTTTGGGGGTATCGGAATGTTTTTTAGCTGGTGGCGTGCTGGCTTGGCATGCTCAAGTTCCCGGGTTCCATCTTAAACACTGCATGGATTGGAGGTGGAGGCAGGAGCATCATAAGTTCAAGGTCATCCTCAGCTACTTCGGGTGTTTGAGGCAGGCTTGTGTCACAAGAGACTTGGTGTGGACTCTGAGTTGTGAGCTCTGTGTTCAAGTCTGTTATCTAGTTCAGATAACTCTGGTGGGGCCACGTATTTGCATTTTGCATACATAGTAAAGGTTGTATAGTTTGATACAGAAGAATTTTAAATATAATAATGTGGGCTAGTCTTACTTGCAGATTAGGGGCTGGGTCAAGAATCTTGGCCAGCTTGTCTCATTTCTTCCTTTTAGCCTCCCTTTAGAGCAGGAATTGGTAGTATCCCCATTTTTAGGGTGAAGAAAGGAATAACAAAGAAATTAAGAAGTATGGGGCTGAAGCTAAGTATGGGAGCAAAGAAATTAAGGAGTAACGGTGGTTCAGTTGCTGAGGAGCTTGCTGTGTAAGCATGAGGGTCTGAGTTCAATTTCCAGCACTTAGGTAAAAACAAGCTGTGCACATTTGTTATCCCAGTGTTGGGGAGGCAGACAGAGGAGGATTCCTAGCCTCACTAGGCAGCCAGCTTACTTAATGGCTTCCAGACTAATGAGGAATATGATTTAGGAAACAGGGTTAGGCTGGTGAGGTGGCTCAGCAGGTTGGTGCTTGCTGTCAGGACCACTCCCGGGTACACACTTCCTCTAGCAAGGCTCCACCTCTCCAAACAGCACCACCATCTGGGGACCAAGTTGTTAAAGTTATTTTTATAAAATTGTGTTTGTTTCTTAGTTGTGTGGTGTCCTTGGGCTCTTCTTGACCGAGACGGTTGCTTAGATTCTGCATGCTTTTGGCAGTTCTGGGAACTGGTTGGTTTATGGGAGGAGTCCCTTTAAGTAGAGCAGCTGTTCTCAACCTGTGGGTCATGACCTCTTTGGAGTCGCACCTTAGCTATCCTGCATATCAGAGATTTACATTCTGATCCATAACAGTACCAAACGTAAGTTATGAAGTAGCAATGAAAATAATGGTATGGTTGGTGGGTCACCACAGCATGTGGAACTGTCCTAACAGGTCACAGTATCAGGAAGGTTGAGAACCGCATGGCTGTGCAGTTACAGTTTCTTGGGAGGAAGATGAAGATGGCAGAGATCTCACTTCACGTGGAGGGCAGCTGCCTTGCACATGCTCTGTGCTGGTCAGTGTGGACCCTGAAGCAGGGCTGTCATCATAAAACTGTGCTTTTCTGTTGCTTTTCAGCCGGACTTTTGGTTTCCCTTCCTTCCTTCCTTCCTTCCTTCCTTCCTTCCTTCCTTCCTTCCTTCCTTCCTTCCTTCCTTCCTTCCTTCCTTCCTTCCTTC